AGTGCGCCGGCTGTAGCAGCTATTTGGGGGGGTGAACCAACGGAAGGAAGACCTTTCTGTCTGTCTATAACTCTAAAAAAAACCCTAAGCATAGTGCCTAGAATATAATAAGCACTTAATAAATGGTAAACAGGGATATGTTAGGTATATAACTTGTACATACTCAATTTTACAAATTGATGATGGATGAATTTTTAACATAGCCCTTACCACAGAAGGTTTAAATGTTTACGGTAAACTGTAATGATGTGTTTCCACGTAGAACTAATTGGTACCATTAAGAAATATAACAATGTACCCTGGAATGAGATGAAACCAATTATCTATTTCTTATTCTTAGGAATACTGTCTTTTGTTTAAGTAGTTTCTTCAAAAAGTTTATTTTCTGGGGACAGCAGGTTAAACCACCACCTGGAAGCCAGCATGGCATAGTGGAGTACTGGTTGGAGTCCCTGCTACTCCACACTTATGGTCCAGTTCCTGCTACTGCACCTGGGAGGCAGCAGATGATATCCCAAATACTTGGGTTCCTGGCACCCACGTGGGAGAATCAGATGGAGTTCCGGGCTCCTGGCTTTGGCCCAGCCTAGTCTCAACTGATTTGGAGAGGAAACTAGCTGAAGAAGCTATCTCTCTCCCTCTTTCTATCACTCTTGCCTTCCAAATAAATAAACAGATCTTTAAAAAATTAAACTTTGGGGATAGATCATTAACTATTGATTTATTTTATGATTGTAGGTCTGTTGTTTTTCTACTTTTCTATCAGTCTTAGAACACTAGTTTTTGTCCCCCCCCCCCCAATAAAATGGCCCATTCTCTGGCATAAAATTTTTCATAATATTTGGTTATTTTGTATTTCCTTTTTGTAATTAGTTATATTCTTTTCTCTCTCTCTCTCTCTCTCTTATGTACTTTAATTCGACAGGCAGAGTTAGACAGAGAGAGGGAGAAAGACAGAGAGAAAGGTCTTCCTTTTCTGTTGATTCACCCCCAGATGGTTCCCACGGCCAGCGGGCTGCACCGATCTGAAGCCAGGAGCCAGGTGCTTCCTCCTGGTCTCCCATGCGGGTGCAGGGCCCAAGGACCTGGGCCATCGTCCACTGCCTTCCCGGTCCACAGCAGGGAGCTGGACTGGAAGAGGAGCAACCGGAAGAGAATCCAGTGCCATAACCGGGACTAGAACCCAGCATGCTGGTGCCACAGGTGAAGGATTAGCCTAGTGAGCCGTGGCGCCAGCCTCTCATTCTTAATATTGCTTATTTTTAATTTTTTTTATTCTGCCTGCTTGATTTGATTCAGTTTTTTGTATTAATGATTTCCATTTATTTTTAGTATTTTCTTCTGCTTTCTCTGGGTTAAGTTCATTACTTTTCATTTTTCTTCTACTATTTGCAGTTAAGACTTACCCATCTAAGGATAGGGTAGATGCTCCACAGGTTTCTTTTTTCTTTTTATTAAAGATTTACTTACTTATTTGAAAGACAGAACTGGGGTGTGTGTGTGTGTGTGTGCGTGGTTAGGAGGGGGAACAGGAGAGAAAAATTCCATTCACTGGTTCACTCCCCAGATGGCCACCACAGTCAGGTCTGGGCCAGTGAAGCCAGGAACTCACACAGGTCTCCCATGGAGGTTGAAGGGGTTCAAGTACTTCAGCATCTTCTGATGCTTTCCTAGGCACGGTCAGCAGAGATCAGAAGTGGAGGAGTTAGCTGTTCACATCCCAGATGCTCTACTTCCAATCCAGCTCCCTGCTAATGGCCTGAAAAAGCAGCAGCAGCAGCAGCAGGGATATGAACCAGTACTCTGATATGGGATGCCAGTGTCACAAGCTGCCGCACAACACCAGCCTCTGCTCACCATTTCCACAGAATATCTTAAACTCAAGTCCAAGTATTTTCTTTCTAAATGTTTTCTAACCTTCATAATGATTTCATCTTAATGCTACAAATTATTTTGAAGGGCGATTTTAAATTTCCAAACCTCTATTTGTCAAAATCTCAGAGTCAGGAGCTGGTGCTGTGGTATAGCGGGTAAAGCTGCTGCCCCCAGTGCCAGCATCCCATATGAGCGCCAGTTTGGGTTCCAGCTGCTCCACTTCTGATCCAGCTCTCTGTTATATCCTGGGAAAGCAGTATTAGATGGCCCAAGTGCTTGGACCCTTGTACCCGCATGGGAGACTTGGAAGAAGCTCCTGGCTCCTTGCTTCAGACTGGCACAGCTCTGGCCATTGTGGCCATCTGGGGAGTGAACCAGAGGATGGAAGACCTCTCTCTCTCTCTCTGCCTCTCCTTGTCTCTCTGTGTAGCTCTGACTTTCAAATAAATAAAAAAATCTTTAAAAAAAAATATCTAAGAGTCAGAGGAAAGGTAAATTCTCCTCTGAATAAAAATGTTAAGTGTTTCATATGGTAATGTCCTGGCTTAAACAAATTTCTTCTAAGTACCTTTAAATAGTCATTGACCCTTTGTCAACATAATTTAGGATTATTCATTATTCATCAGTACTTTCAAATGACTAATTCACCAATTTTACCAAATTTGGGATGTTGCATTAAGAACATTCAAAAATTTCTAAAAAGTTCTGTGTTGTTTTCATTGTTTTCTCTACAACAGAATCCTACGGAGCACTGGCTTTGTCTCTTGTCTAACGCACCACAGACAAAGTGGAAGACAGCACAGAGCACCACCTGGTCTCCCAACGGCACAGAAGGGCTGCTCACATAGAGACACTGGAGACCAAAGGAAGGCTGAGCAACACAGCAGCAAACACACACAGAGCAACAAAGGGAGGAGGCTAGGGGCAGAAAAAAGAGTTCGAGGGTGGAGGGCGGAGACAAAGAAGACAGAAAGGGGCAGTTTGTACTAAATGAGTAAATTTGCTGAATTACCTTCTGCAGCCTGATTCACAGCTGTGAAGGATTCCTTCCAGAGTAGCACTTTATTGGTTTTTGCCAGGTGCTTCTACAGTTTTACCAGCCTATAACTGGTGTTTGTTAATTTCTTGTCTGAAGCTATATATGTGAAGTTGGATTTTTTCCGCTTCTCAGGAAAGAATCTAAACCAACTCAGATAGAAACAAACTTATTTTGCACCCCTGTCCCAACAGGAAGATTTATCTTAGTCTTTTTTTTTTTTTTTAAAGATTTATTTACTTGAAAGTCAGAGTTAGAGAGTGAGCGAGCTTCCATTTGCTGGTTCACTCTCCAGGTGCTTGCAATGGCTAGAGCTGGGCCAGTCTGAAGCCAGGAGCCAGAAGCTTACTGCAGGTCTCTCATCTGGATGCAGGGGCCCAAGCACTTGGGCCCTCTTCAGTTGCCTTCCCAGGCACATTAGCAGGGAGCTGGATGGGAAGTGGTGTAGCTAGGATGCGAACTGGCACTCATGTGGGATGTGGCACTGCATGCAGTGGCTTAACCTGCTACAGCACAGCACCAAGCCCCTGTTAGTCCGCTTTTTATGAGGTGCAGCCTTTCTAAGATTCCCAATGGTTTTCAGAGGTATCAAACGTCCATGGTCCCAAATAGGCAAGTACGACAAACCTAAGTCCTTAGCTATTGCCAGTGTATCATTTTCATCCCAAAACCCAGGACTACTGCAGCATCAGTTGACAAATACATCAACACATTTCCTAGTAGAAACCTGGGGTTACATCTTCTTTCAGTAAAAGTTCATCTGGGATGAAGAAGAAATTTTGTTACCTTTTTACTGAGTGCATCCATCCCAGGATGAGTTTAGCATCAGTTGATGATGCCAATTGGCATCTTGGGAAAATATTTTTTCCAAAATATTTTGTAAATCTACATTTATAAAGTTCTTGCTGCTTTTATCAGACACTTAATGCCACTAAGAGTCTATCTACCTTTTCCTCTACTACTCCTGATCCAATAGATCACGTAATCAGATAATGCAGAGCAGGAATTAACAAACTCAGTTGTCGACCTAGACATAAATTGCAAAAGCCTACCAGTTCTACCCACCTTAATACCTACCATTTTTCTACCATATAGGAATTTTAAAATATTTTCTAGAACTATTTAATACTTTCAACTCCTTCCTTTCAAAAATATAATCAGTTACTTATGTAGTATTTCATTTTTGACTGTCCTAAATTTTCTTTAGGGCTCCAAAACTAGCTAGGTCAGAAGATCTATAATAGGAAAATTTGCATTAATAATTTTGTACAATCAGTTCTAACTCTTCATGCAAAAGGTAGAAACAGCAAGGAGAAAAGACTGTTCCATTTCAGAGACCTCTCTGATTGCTGATTGGAGTTCTTTTTCTTTTTCTTTTTTTTTTTTTAAGATTTATTTTATTTATTTGAAAGACAGAGTTACAAAGAGGCAGAGGCAGCTAGAGTCTTCCATCCGATGGTTCACTCCCCAGATGGCCACAACGTCCAGAGCTGCACCAATCTGAAGCCAGGAGCCAGGAGCTTCTTCCAGGTCTCCCACGTGGATGCAGGGGCCCAAGGACTGAGGCCATCTTCTACTGCTTTCCCAGGCCACAGCAGAGAGCTGGATAGGAAGTGGAGCAGCTGGGACACAATCCAGCACCCATATGGGATGCCAGCACTGCAGGCAGAAGCTTTACCTGCTATGCCACAGTGCCAGCCCCTTTTGACTGGAGTTTTAAAGCACTGCTTGGGGCCAGCACCATGGCTCACTTGGTTAATCCTCTGCCTGCGGTGCTGGCATCCCGTGTGGATGCCAGGTTCTATTCCCGGTTGCTATTCTTCCAGTCCTGCTCACACAGGTGCTTGGGCCCCTGCACCTGCATGGGAGACAGGGGTGCGGAGGGGTGTTGTGGGCACCTGTCTCCTAGCTTTGGATTGGCACGCTGCCGGCTGTGGTGGCCATTTGGGGAGTGAAGACCTTTCTTTCTGTCACTCTATCTGTCAAATAAAACAAAACAAAAAAAGTTTTGTAAAGCACTGATTTATTTTACTGAATATATCATGTCCTTCCGAAATACTAGATTTTAAGAATTTTAATAGACCCTTACCTGATGGTCCTGAATCTTCCTGCCCACCACTCTGAATGTGTTGTTGCCCGTATGGTGATAGATGTGAACTCTGCTAAACCCAGTCGAGCCACCAGCTGGCACCCACTTCTTATTGGCATCATCATAAACCATCACAGCAGCTCTTGCCTGACAGATACTCTGTTCACTGTAAAAAAAAAAAAAAAAAGAAAGCAAACTTAAAATATCTGAAATACACTAAGTATTCTACCATATAACTCTATGAGCCAGGGTCAGTCAACAGTTAGTGCTGTTTGTGGGTGCTGGAGATAACAGTGAATAAGGCAGAGGCTTCTACCTTTATGTACCAGTTTAATGGAGAAGACCAAATTGTGTGTGTGTGTGTGTGTGTATACACCACCAAAATCAGAGAGTTCAATATACCCCAAAGTTTCCCTCTATCCTTGTTCTCCTCACATATATATTGCTGTATAGTGTGTGGGTGGGTTGCTGGAGACATCCCAAACACTGAAACACATGGAAACTGCATACCTCTGAATGCCGCTTAATTAATTCCATACCCACAGTTTCTGAATTTGCAGACTCAACCACGTTCAGATGGCAAATATATAGGGAGTCAAAATGGCATCTGTACAGGCCAGACAGGACTGCACTGCCCCCTGGGGTTAGGGACAAATGAGCCTCAATCCACCCATTCCTTTTCACGGTGTCTGAGAATATCCTCAATAGAGACAGGCTGTGGTACAATAAAAAATGTCTAGTTTTTGTCTCAGCCTCCTGGTACAAAGCTGCTAAAAACCTTGGAATCTCCTGAGAGACAAGAGTGTCCCTGGTGTGCTAATGAGATGACTCTTGGCTGAGGCGCTCCCAGACAGCTTCAGGAAGGTGTCTGGTAACCAGAAATATTAAAGCACAATTAGAGCTAGAATTCAGTTCCACCCTCTTCTCCCTAGCAACCCCCCTCTTCCCACCTCTGGGGAGGGGAGAAGGGCCGTAGATAGAGTTCCTTCACCAAAGGCCAATGATATTATCAATCACGCCTGCCTAATAAAGCCAAAAACCCTACACAATGGTGCTGAGAGGAGTGGCCTGCGGAAAGGACACAAAGGCTCTGCAACCCCCTCTCCCTGCAGCTCCTGAGAAATAGTGAAGGGTCTGCTTCAACAAAGATTGGCCTTTGGGGCCCACACTGTGGCACTGCAGGTTAAGCCATTGCGTGGGACACCACTAACACACCAAATGAGTCTTGGCTGCTCTACTTCTGATCCAGAAGCTTGATAATGCATCTGAGAAGGCAGCAGAAGATGGCCCAAGTGCTGGGGCTCCTGCCACCCATGCAGGAGACCAAGAAGGAGTTCAGGGCTCCTAGCTTTAGCTTGATCCAGGCTTTGGCTGTTATGGCCATTTGGGAGTGAATCAGCAGATGGAAGATCTTTGTCTCTCCCTCTCTAACTCTACGTTTCAACTAACTAAATAATTTTTTTTTTTTTTGACAGGCAGAGTGGACAGTGAGAAAGAGACAGACAGAGAGAAAGGTCTTCCTTTTTGCCGTTGGTTCACCCTCCAATGGCCGCCGTGGCCGGCGCGCTGTGGCCTGCGCATCGCGCTGATCCGAAGCCAGGAGCCAGGTGCTTCTTCTGGTCTCCCATGGGGTGCAGGGCCCAAGCACTTGGGCCATCCTCCACTGCACTCCCTGGCCACAGCAGAGAGCTGGCTTGGAAGAGGGGCAACTGGGACAGAATCCGGCGCCCCAACCAGGACTAGAACCCGGTGTGCTGGCGCCGCAAGGCGGAGGATTAGCCTAGTGAGCCGCGGCGCCGGCTTAAATAAATCTTTAAAAACAAAGAAGTACAACTGTCCTCAGCCACAACAGAAAGTCTTACCACACACACATTATGTATATACAAGAGAGCAATGCATCTTTATGCCACCATCCCATCTGCATTAGCACAAACCTCAAAATGCATACTGAGTCAAGATTCTGAGTCAGTGAAGGAACTCCAGAAAAATATGAATTAGTTAATTACTGAGCTAAAAGTTTTGCAAAGATCAGGCTCTAAATTAGTTATAAGCAAAAACTTCATGATCTAATAACAACTTTATGATCTAATACAAGTGTACATACAAAGGTACTACAGAAAGTTTGAGGGAAATGCATGCTGTAAGAAAGCTGCACAGGGGGGAGCGCTGTGGTGTAGTGGGTAAAGCTGCCGCCTGCAGTGCCAGCATCCCATATGGGCACTCGTTCAACTCCTGGCTGCTCTACTTCCTATCTAGCTCTCTGCTATGGCCTGGAAAAGCAGAAGAAGATGGCCCAAGTGCTTGGGCCCTTGCACCAGCATGGGAGGCCTGGATGAAGCTCCTGGATCCTGGCTTCAGATTGGCCCAGCTCTAGATGTTGTAGCCATTTGATGAGTAAACCAGCAGATGGAAGACTCTCTCTCTCCCTCTCTCTCTGCCTCTCAAATAAATAAATAAAGCTTAAAATAAAGAACTATACAGGGATTTAAACAAAAAACATTTTGCGTCAAAATAAACTTTTTTTTTTTTTTTGACAGGCAGAGTGGACAGTGAGAGAGAGAGAAAGAAAGGTCTTCCTTTACCATTGGATCACCCTCCAATGGCCGCTGTGGCCCGTGCGCCGCGGTCGGCACACCGCGCTGATCCGAAGGCAGGAGCCAGGTGCTTCTCCTGGTCTCCCATGCAGGTGCAGGGCCCAAGGACTTGGGCCATCCTCCACTGCACTCCTGGGCCACAGCAGAGAGCTGGCCTGGAAGAGGGGCAACCGGGACAGAATCCGGCCCCCCCGACCGGGACTAGAATCCGGTATGCCGGCACCGCAGGAGCCTATTGAGCTGCAGCGCCGGCCTAAACTTATCTTCTAATTCTATTTTCCCATAAGCTTTCCTTTTTTTCCCCAAAAGATTTATTTACTTATCTGAAAGGCAAAGGGGCCAGCACTGTGGTGTAGCAGGTTAAGTCACTACCTGCAGCGTTGGCTTCCCACATGGGCAGCAGTTCGAGTCTCAACTGCTCCACTACCAAGCCAACTCCCTGCTAATGTACCTGGGAAAGCAGTGGAAGATGGCCCAAGCGTTTGGGCCCCTGCACCCATGTGAGAGACGAGGAAGAAGCTCCTGGTTCCTGGCTTTGGACTGGCCCTGCTTTGTCCGTTGCAGCCATCTGGGGAGTGAACCAGCAGATGGAAGTTCTCTCTCTTTTTTTAAATAAAAAAGTAATAGATCTTGGGGGCCAGCACTGTGGCACAGTGAGTAAAGCTGCTGCCTGCAGTGCTGGCATCCCATGTGGGTACTAGTTCAAGTCCCGGCTGTTCCACTTCAGATCCAGCTCTCTGCTATGGCCTAGGACAGCAGAAGATGGCCCACCAAGTCCTTGGACCCTTCACCCATGTGGGAGATTCCAACAAACCTCCTAGGTCCTGGCCTCAGATCAGTCCAGCTCCGCCTGTAGCTGGGAGAGTAAACAAGCAGGTGGAAGATGTCACCCCCTCTCTCCATCCCCTCTCCATAACTCTGTCTTTCAAATAAATAAATAAATCTTTAAAAAAAAAACCAGATCTTAAAAAAAAAAGAAAGAAAGTAAAGAAAGGCAGCGTTAGAGAGAGAAGGAGAGACAGAAAGATTTTCCATTTATCTGCCTATTCACTCCTCCAGTGTTCCCAACAGCCAGAGCTGGCACAGGCCAAAGCCAGGAGCTTCTTCCGGGTCTCCCAAATTGGTAGCAGGGACTCAAGCACTTGGGTTATCTTTCGCTGCTTTCCGAGATCATTAGCAGGGAGCTGGATTCAAAGAGGAGCAGCCAGGATGTGAATCAACACCCACATGAGATGCCATTGTCACAAGCAGCAGCTTAACCCACTACACTAGCTCTTCCCATTAGCTTTCTGAAGACCCTCACATATGGCTGATTATCTTTCATCTTCCTGATGATATGTTTGGTATTTTAAAATGAAATTTGGCATCAGAAGGCTACAGTTGGTTTAATTTTTTTTTTTAAGTTGGGGCAGGTATTTAGCCTAGCAGTGACGATACCTGCAATCCCACATCAGAGTATTTAGGTGTGAGTCCAAGTTCTGGCCCTTGACTCCAGCTTCCTATCAATTCATACCCTGGGAGGCATGGATAGCAGCTCCCTGTCTTTCCAATTAAAAGGGGGAAAAAAAAAGTTTAAAAGCCACTCTCACACTACAACTTTGATGCATTGTCAGATAAATTCATTTCTGAATTGTCAGATTTTCTGAGCAGGTATGTATAATGGTAAAGAATGCATGCCAAGTTCTAGTCTCATACGTACAGTGACTAAAATGCCTCTTGTTATTTTAAGTCGACTAAGGATTGCCTAACTATAATTGTATATACCATTTATTAAGATTGCAGTAAAGCCAAATCTTTAATAGGAACTTTCTTTCAAAGATACCACTTATTAATCATTACTTGCCAAAGAAAGCAAGAATATGACAGTGCCTAGCACATAGCAGGCACTATTTTAATGCTGTTCATACATAATTTCTTTCCCTTTCACTCATTCAAAAAAGTTTTTTTTTTTTTTTTTTTTTTTAGAGACAGACAGAGCTCCTATACCTATACAATGGTTCAACTCCCCAAAGACCTTAAACAGCCCCAGTTGTGGCCAGGAATGCAAGCACCTGAGTCATTACTAAGAACCCCCAGGATTAGCTAGAAGCTAAACCTGGGCACTCAAATATGGAACACAGGCATCATGACCCCCAGGCCGAATGCCCAGTCCCCAATACCCATTTTCACCTAAAAAAATCCTACTCATTCATTAAGACCTGAATCAAAAACTATTCCTTCTATTTAGTCTTCCTGAGGTCCCTAAAACCAGAATTAATTGCTCCTTCCTCTGAATTCGTATAGTGTTCCTTAATCTCTCAACAAAAAGTTCTCTGGGAAAAAAATGTTTCAAGTCATGGGAAAGAATTGGATTTTACTCCAAGTAAACCACAAAGCCATGGGAGGGCTTTAAGTGGAACGTGACTTACACTTTTAGAAGATATCTCTTACCTATCATGTCAACAAGGGATTCCGGAAGGTGGTATGAAAATCAAGAATGGAAGCACAACCACCAGACCAGAAAAAAGAGGGAATAAGTATGTTAGATATTTGTTGGAAGAATAGTGAAAAGGATTTACAAACAGAGAAGATG